GAGATCATTCCAGAAGATCGACAACTTCCAACATGGCGTTGCATGACACCAGGGTTGGAGGACTATTTTGCTCAGAGGGTGAGTGAGAGAGAGAGAGAGATATATATATATAGGTTAAGAGGGTGAGTGAGAGAGAGAGATATATATATATAGGTTGTAAGTCTCTTTTGGAAACGAGATGAAACGAGTCATCCAGGTATAGATGTGAATGCTGAGCATCTGGATTCAGCGGTACCAGCCGCTTCTGTGGCCACTCGAATTCATATATCGGCGTCTGTGCGCGAGGAAGCGCTGGCCCAAGGCAAGTTGTAGAGGTGCGCCAATGGCGTTCCACGTCGCCAAAGTCCCCTATCTCCAGTTTGACTTGCATCAGCTCAGCAATAATTGGCACGAGGTCATCGAGTTCAACCACGTCTTGCCTCAAAAGCAAGTCTACCGCATACGCTGCGGAGGGACTTCGTTTCTAGCTGCACTGTGATCCCAAGCTTTGTCGTTTGCCCCACTCATTAGAAGTACTGTGTGTTGTTTATATGACACCTCAACCATGTGTTCTCATCCTTGAACTGGAATCAGGATCAACGTGGCCAGTGGGAATGGTATGATGGGGTCGTACCTGAAGTTGAAAGAGACGGACTATGCCCAGTGTCAGTTCCAAGGTGATGATGGTGGCCCGAGGTACTACAAGGCATTTGTCCATGCCAGCAAGCGAGACGGTGCACCGTGCTGGCTGGTGCGAATGCCAGAAGTGTGGCCGAACGTGAAGGTGCTGCAAATGGACATTGCTGACAAGCAGATCCATGTGTCGTTGGCGTTCACCGGGGAGCACCTGATTTCTCTGAAGTTCCGCGGCAAAAAAACCTTTGACTTCTTGGAGGAGGTCGTCATTGCCTGGGATCTGAAGTATGATCATGACCCGCTATGCAGACTGTGTGGCTTCTCCTTTGTCCACCTGGCCTACAAGATTGACGAGAAGGATTGGATCAAGCCTATGGAGGAGACGTTGGGACTTGTACAGCCACAGGCCAAGGCACGCCCCAAAGCTGGTGCAGTGAAGAAGCCGGCAGCGAAGAAATAGATCTGCAACTGAGTGGTCCAAAAAGAATTGCTGGGAGGGAGCGGTGGCGACCGCTGAGCGGTTCTAACCGCTGAAAGCATTCTAACTGTATTTGTTTGGCAGCGGTGTGTCCGCTTCATGTCGCGATGTTTTAGTGCCATGTTTGGACGCACCATCAAGAGAGTAGAACTTGGGTCTGTGATGTTGTTGACATGAAATAACCTAGAGGCACCAACGCAGACAATCTACAAAGGTGCATGTATCATGATGCCAGCAAAATGCGGTGCTTTTCACCACAAAGAAAAACAGTGCTTGATTTATCGCTCACAAGCGTCAGAGCGCAAAAGCTTTCATCTTCCAAGATTAAGCGGCAGCCGCTGTAGACTACCCATGCCGAGAGCCATATATCAAGTCAATCTGGACCAGCCCATGCTGAAGCATGATGTTGCTTTGAAATGCCAGATTGCCCAATTCATTTCTTTGCCCATTTGTCATATGTCGCATACAAAAAAAAGCTTACTCCAATGTATTGTTGTCATTTTGACCCGTATAACCGTACAACTGTATATCCATGGCCTTGTTTTCAATGGGACTGTCATGCCAAAGCGCAAGGTAGATGATTATTTCAAATGCTATGGCATTCGTGGAGTCAATGATGCTGCGGTCCGCCGTGTAGTCCAGAGACTCAGGGACGAAAAAGAAACTGAGCAGCATTGCCCAAGTTTCGCTGAAAGGTTTCAACATCTAGAAGGAGTTCTGCATTGCCATGAAGAAAGCGGCATTTGCACATTGAATCTACAAGTCTATATGGATACCTTGGCGGAGAAGTCGCCCGACATGAAACGTTTCTTCCAAGAAACTCTGGTGGCACAGCATTCTGGCAAAGAATCAATTTCGGGGTGTTTGTATGCAGACGAGGCAGTCCCTGGCAATATCATTGCCCCAGACAATCGTCGACGTTCATGGTGCTTTTATTTTACATGGGATTGCTGGATCCCATACAGAAGTGATGTTCTGTGGTTACCCTTGGCAATCGTCCGCAGTGATGTTGTTGATCAATTGGCAGGAGGGCTGCCTGAGGCCCTCAACATCATCATGCGGCAATGCTTGCCTTTCTACTCTGGCATTGTTGTGGAAGACAACTTGGTCGTCACTTCGCCCCTAAGCTTGCTGGCAGACGAAGATGGCCTGAAGAAGCTAGTTTCCCACAAGGGATCGAGCGGTATCAGGCCATGCATTTCTTGCGGGAATTGCATTGCCAAGAATCGCACTGCTGCCGGATACTATTCAATCGACCACAACGACTTCAGCGACTTCACATTGCAAGATGATGACACTACCCGAAGGACTTTCGAGCATTTGAAGCACCTGCATGAAAATTCGACTGCCGCTTCCCTGGACGATGCAGAGAAGCTGAGCGGCTGGAAATTCAATGAGCACTCATGGGTTTGGAATGACCGCCTCTGGAATTTGTTGAAGCCATCGCGCGTGGTCTACGATGCAATGCATTGCATCTGGGGCAATGGCATTGCATGTTTGGAGCTGGGCTTATTTTGGCAAGCAGCATCTCGCAATGGTGTTCACCGTGCTGACCTTAGTGCATTTTTGCGCTCCAATTGGGAGCAGAGCTTGCAAATAGGCAATGTGCCTGCCGGACTTGCCAGCTTAGCAGGCCCAAAGCTTCTCAAAGACGATGGTTCCGATTACCGCGGTGATTCAAACCAAACACTTGAACTGGTGGTACTTATGTCTTTCTTCGCTCAGCAGGCTCTATCAGGCATTGAAGGATTACGAGACCATATTGCATCCCTTGCTGCGCTCAACCGGTTGTGCATTGCAGTTCTCAATGCGAAGCTTCATCCCGAACAATGTCCAGGTTTGCTTGCTCTTCAAGAAGAACATTTGAAACTTTTCAAAAAATGTTACACAGCTCAACGGTGCAGGCCCAAACATCACTACAGCTTGCATATTGAAAGGCAGGTTGCAACTTCTCATATGCTCATGGACACATGGCCCACAGAAAGGAAGCACAAAGTATTCAAATCGGATCTTGCACCCAGAATCAAGCGGCTCGACCGCTTTGAGCGAAGCATCATGATGCGATGGATTGAACATGATCTCAGCACTCTCGCCCGAAGCAATTTTCTGAATCATTTGCTACAGCCATTGAAAGAAGAGGTATCGGGTTTGAAGTTTGGTAAAGGTGCGTACAGCAAGGGCTGTACTCTGCGTACCAACAATGTGCTGATGTTCAAAAACGGCGATGTGTGGCAGGCATTTCTGCTCGTCACTTGTTTCCAATCGAAAGAAGGACTTGGTGTGATCGGGCAACAATTGCAGCTCATGGAGTCCGACCCACACATGTCTTGGAGCAAATGGATTTTGACAGAAGAATATGCTCCATTTAGTTTTGCAGAAGCGAGCAAAACGCTCAGAACATCATTTTTGTCAAAGGCAAGCGATGAATCGATGTTGCTGCTGCGATGAACAAAAGTGTTGCTGACTTTCGTGGTTTCCATGTTAAGCCGAAAATATTAGCAGCGGTGGTTTTTATATGCCGCTTTCACATTTGTGCGGTGTTCCGCTGAACAAAACAGGTTTTCATGTCCAGTCGAAGATATTAGCGGCGGTGTTTGTTTTATGCCGCTGTCACATTTCTGCGGTGTTCCGCTGGACAAAGCAAAATAGCGGTGGTGAAATTGCTCGAATGCATGTAATGCTACAAAAATGACAAAAAGTTAGCATTGACTCATCCAAAACAACAACAAAAGTAGTCAAAAAATACCATAAAACACCCAAAAAAACAGATGACATTTTTACTTAAAATTAACAGAGGAGCTAACTTTTTCTAACTTTTAAGTTAACTTTTTGGTATAACTAGTTATAACCCAACCGTAGACTATAGTAATGATGATGATGACGACGACGATGACGATGACGATGACGATGATGATGATGATGGTGATGATGATGGTGATGATGATGGTGATGGTGATGATTATGATGATGATGATGATGACGACGACGATGACGATGCCGATGACGATGATGATGATGATGATGGTGATGACGATGACAATGACGATGAAGATGATGATGATGATGATGATGATGATGATGACGGTGATGATGATGACGGTGATGATGATGACGATGACGATGACGATGACGATGATGATGACGATGACGATGACGATGATGGTGATGATGATGAAAAAGACGATGGCGATGATGATGATGATGATGATGGTGATGATGATGATGATGATGATGCTCATGATGACGATGACGATGACGATGATGATGGTGATGATGAAGATGATGATGATGGTGATGATGATGGTGATGATGATGGTGATGGTGATGATTATGATGATGATGATGACGACGAATATGACGATGCCGATGACGATGATGATGATGATGATGGTGATGACGATGACGATGACGAGAATGATGATGATGATGATGATGACGATGACGGTGATGATGATGACGATGATGATGACGATGACGATGACGATGACGACGATGATGATGATGATGATGATGATGATCATGATGATGATGATGATGATTAAGATGACGGTGATGATGATGACGATGACGATGACGATGACGGTGATGATGATGACGATGACGATGGCGATGATGATGATGATGATGATGATGATGACGATGACGATGACGATGACGACGATGATGATGATGATGATTAAGATGATGATGATGATGATGACGATGACGATGACGATGACGATGATGATGATGATGATGATGATGATCATAATGATGATGGTGATGATGATGATGACGATGACGGTGGTGATGCTGATGATGATGGTGGTGATGATGATGACGACGATTACGGTGAAGATGATGATGATCATGATGATGATGATGATGACGGTGATGATGATGATGATGATGGTGATGATGGTGATGA